ATATTACTTCATATCTCTTAATTAAGTTGATGACAAGTAAATTTGGCTTCCAATTCTGCTTATCAACTTTATTCCAAGTTTTCATTCAAAAACTCCAAATCTTTAATCTCTCCTAACTCATTCATCCTTTGATTTTAAGCTAACTTATGCTTTCCTTAAGCTTAATTATCATCTAATAATCATAACCCAATATTAAATTCAGCTAAAGATCAACCAACAATAAATCTTACCTTTGCTTGGCTCTTCACGTACGAAGGAAGAAGAAGAAAGTTTATGGAGAAATCTCTCATTTTCCTTTTAATCCCCACGTTTTATAGCCTATAAAAAGAAATATAAAAACCTTTCTTGTAAAATGACCATTTTACCCTTCTTTCTTTCCATTTTTTCTAATTAATCCCACTCACATAATTTTCCAATTAAGTCCCTAAACTTTTCAATTTTTTGAAATCAAACTTCAAATTTCTAAAACTGTCATTTTAGTCATTAAAAAAAGTTGTGTCTTTGCTTCATTGTACCTTGAATTCGGCAATTGTCATGGACTTAGTTTAATTGGAAGTTTGAGGAATAAAGTGAAATTGAATATGGCAATTTGTGATTTTAATGTGTTAATTGAGGAATGCTTGAGGACAAGAATTGAATAAGTGAGGGGGAATTTGATAGGTGGTTTATTTGGTTATTATTTTGCCTTTAATTTTCTCTTTAGTTTCTGGTTTTTGTAGTTGATTTGTTCGTTTTGATTCATTTTCTGTGCAGGACACTAGATTCTGGAAATTGCATTAAAAGAACAAAATTCTGCATTTTTTTTATTTTTGGAGTCAAGGCTGGATTAGTGGGTATGACTTTAAGAATGACACATCTGGCATGGCGTTGAGTTAGCATCTTCTAGAAGGTACAATCAACGCTTCTAGAAGGACAAACAGATCAACCACGTTTTTGAAATTTGAATTCAAAATTATCTCATGTGTTTAGGATTTTAGTTTGAATATTTTCTAGAATTATCTTTATGAATTATGTCTTATTTTTAGGAATTATTTTTTCATTATTTTTAGGGATTTAGAAAACTATAAAAACCCTTCAAGGTAAGATTGAAAACAAATTCAGATTTAAGCTTGAAAACATATTCAGATTTCATTCTTCTTCTTTGCTTTGAGATTTATAAAAGTTTTCCTTTTTTTTCAAAGTTTTCTTTATTTTTTTTATTTTTCAAAGTTTTCTTTTTTCTCTTTAAATTGAGATCAGACTCGATTCTCATTGAGACAACATCCAAATCGGATTTTTCTAAAGCTTTAAATGAAGTTGGTGCTGACGACGATTGTCGTAGTTAGTCCACATAAAGACTGGAATTCAAAGATCGCTTTTGAATTATCGGTTTGCAAGAGAGAGAAACAAGTTACAGGGGTTGAGCCTTGTCCACTATAACATATATATATATATAAAGTGAAAATCTATTTCGATAATCAGATGGAATTGAGGAAAAGATAAAGTCCGAGACTACTTTTAAAATAAGTTTTCTTGTCTCAATTTATTTTTAGTTATTTATTTCTTTATTTTATCATTATCTCATATTATTTTTAAACAATTTAAAATCCCCTATTTTATTCTCATCCCTATCTTTTCTCATCTTTATCCAAATCTCTATCTTTTCTCATCTTTATCCAGATCTAAAATCAGAAAGTCTACAACTATATAAACTCCAAAGTCCCTATGGACTGGCCATGCTTCTCTTTACTACTCTTTCCTTTTATTTATTTTTTTGAGGAAAATGAATTATTTAACAGTATAATAACACCTGTTAACGAAAAAGACATATTTATGTATAACGCATTTAAACAAAAACAGAGAATATTAAGTGCAATTTTCTTTATAAATAGCTAAGAGATACAATGGCACAAAAAGGTGGAATGCAAAAAGACTTTAAGGCAAAGAATGTATTAGATGTATTAAGATACAAGACAAAAAGGATAAGGTGCCCTGGTTTAGAATGATTTAGGGGAGTTCCACTGTTCCCATGCACTCATTTATTGCCAAGGGCCCAAGGCTCTTCATATCCACCAAGGGTGCATTCTGTTCGAATAAATTTCTCGATTTTCTAGTTTTATTTATTTATTTGAACTCCTATATTCACTAAATTTATTGTTAAAAAAAGTTACAAATATATTTTATAGTATAAGAGGTACATTTGGTTTTAGTTTGACAAAAAAAAACTTAAAATGATATAGCAATTAAGGGCGGGAAAAATTTAAGGAGGAATATTCGAGTTAACAAGTTTTGAAATAGTCGAGCTGATGATTCATATTTTATCATTCAAATTTTATTTGAAAATTTTTGAGTCAACTCGAAAATTTTTGAGATATTTCACCAATGATGCCCGTTCCGTTGTGTGGTTTAACAATGACTCGACTACTTCCAACTTCTTTATTGAGCCCTTTCTTCTTCATTATATCCCTCAACTTATCAACAGAATCCCATTTTCCAACAGCAGCACATAAATTCGAAAGAAGCACGAGATTACTAGCGTTAAGCAATGCTATCCATATTGCTGTTGTAGGCCTTGTACCATTTTTAATCATATCATCCAAGAGAGACCATGCTTTATCTATTCGACCGGCTTGTCCTAAAACATCAATGAAGCTAGCATAATGTTCTTGATTCAGGTCAAGACCATGCTTCTCCCTCATCAAATTAAAGCACTTCTGGCCTTCTTCAACCAGACCAGAATGTCCGCATACATATAAAAGAACAAGAAATGTAACAGAATTGGGCATAACTCCGTTTCTGCTCACCTCCATCAGCTTGAACAGCTCAAGAGCTTCAATCCCGTATCCATGCCTACCACATGCATCAATCATGCTCGTCCATGAAACCACACATTTCTTTGAAATCCCATCAAACAATCTTCTCGCATACAAAATCTTCCCGCATTTTGCATACATATCCAATAAAGCATTACATAATTGAGTATCATCAGTAATGTCACACAGTGCTTTCCGATCCACAAATCCAAGTTTTCAGAGCAAGCTCCAAGAGCACTAGTCAGTGCAACTACATTGTATCTCATTTTACTCATAATTGAAAATGCCTCTCTATAATTTCGATTTTTAATGCAGCCACTGATCAAAGAATTGCAAATTATATTCCCTTTGATATCATTTAAACTAGAGAAAACTTTCAGAGCTTCAGTAACACGCCCCATGTCCGAGTCAAAGTCGATGAGAGCAGTACTCAAAATCACTAAATCACGATCAAATACAACCACCAAACCATGAATCTGCTTTCCTAGCTCGGGAGCCTTAAAAAAAAGAACAAGCTTTTAGCATAGAACACAATGTAAACTCACTAAGCAGAATTTTTTTCTCTCCTTGTTGCTGCGAAAGCATCAAGTGCTTCTTTAGCAAGACCATGCTTTAGATAGCTCGAAATCAAAGCATTCCAACTTCCAAGTCACAATATCCTTCAGCTCAATTTCTTCAAACGCCTTAACCGAGTCACTCAAGCATCCGTACTTCGAATACAAGTTCATTAGTGCAGTTTTGGATATCGTTCCGGCATCCACGCCCGTTTTAATCATTAGTCCATGCACTTGCTTTCCATGTTCCGTGCCCGGCAAAGCAGAGCAGGCACTCAAAACCGGCGTAAAAGTATATGCATCAAGGTCACAGCCTGAAAAAATGCATGCGACAAAAGAGAGCCCATGTTTCTTGAACGTTGCCTCTGGGAACATACGAGGCAAGTTTAACATACGAGGCAATTCTTCAAGCGAGTGGCGGACGTGAGCATATAGTTTATGAAGCTTAACTATGGATACCTCGATTGAAGCAATGGCTCGAAGGTTTCTGGTTTGGTAATTAAGATAACGAATGCGACGAGGAGACGCAGACATAAATCTGCTATTTCTCTACCTGTCAGACTATCAAAACAGATAAGACGGAAGCTTTGAGGGAAGATGGAGGGAAGAGAAGAAAGAGAACTTTGCTGCCTACTCTTTATTAAGTATTAAATCTAAGTTACAAAATCTATTTGCTATATTATTTAAAATTAAATAATGGATGTAGTTAAATTATTTGATAAATATAAATTTTAAAGAATAATATAATATTAAAAATTTATTTTATAAAAATTTTCATCAAGGGAGAAGTAAATTTTTATTCATTTATTATTTTCTACATTTTATAACTGGTAAAATTTTCATTCTGAATTATCAAATGCATTTATATTCTCAGACCATTTATGCATTTGTTCATTTAGAATGGAGAATTAGGTATAAAGTAGAATGAATGGTTTCCTGAATGAATCAGTGGGTGGGTGTAATAGTGGCGGCCAGGTTTATGTTGTCTGGCAAAATGGCAGGTATTGTCATTTGGAATGATATATATACTTATTAGTTCTGCTCTAATTATGCCAAATAATGCTGTTAACATGTACTGCTTTGTAAGGGCAAGCCTAATGATTCATTGTTTCCTATACTAGGAGGGTTATATACAATGTCCTTGACGCTAGCTACAGTATAGTAGGTAAGAAAATTAACTATTGGATCGTATCTCACACACAATACATATTATCATTATTATATGATACCCCTTGTCGGACTTCTTTCTCTTAAATCTAGCTGTGGTAATCAATGATTCCAGAAACTTGTCAATTATGCGTAAACTTTCTTTATTGCCGAATCAGATTTGAGTGCACATTTACATACAGATAGGTCCGAAATGAGCTGCCAATGTATTCATGCTCCGCAAACAATTAATTTACTAGTAGCAACAAGGTCCAATTGCTAAATCTATTTGTTCTTTATTTTTGATCGAATGAATCAGTTTATTCATATTCTTCTATTATCAGCACTGCATGTGAATGTTAATCATCTATAAGCATGCTAAACTCACGGCTTATTATGCAAAAGATACAAAGCTTAGGCCTTGGTTCAGTGCTTCCTTTTACAAGCTTAATCGCATGGCTTAATCTTCTCCATTGTCAAACATGTAAGAAGAAAATCAAGCAATCAACCCATCTGCCACTAAAAGTAAGATAGGGTCATAATTGAGCCCCGGCCTACTACAACCTACTAGTTCATGAAGGACCATCCTCCTCATTTATCACCAACACTATCTTTTGTTCCCGCTTAAATGACTTATTTTAATCATTCATCTCACCACTCACCCATTAAAAATACTAGTTAAATATTCCTTTATCATCACTCTTTTATCTCCTCTCCATGCTCTGAAAGAAAAAGAGAAAGCGATAGCTCAAAGCGAAACTCCTTCCATAAAATGAATCCCAAAAGCATCTTCATCTTGTCTGTTCTGTTAATTTCAGCTTCACTATCTGCAGCAACTAGGCCTGATTCATTCGGTCCCTTATCATCTAAACTAAAAAAGCACAACCAAGGCAGCAGGAAACCGAGCAACCAAAACAACAAAAAACTCGGCGGTGGAAACACTGGAGGGAACGGCGGGTTCTTCGGTATAACACCCGTGTTTGGGTTGCCGGGGTTTGAAAATGGGATCGTAGGCGGTGGCTATGGAGCTGGTTTCGGAGGTCCTAAAGGAGGATACTCAAAAGGTAGTATTATTAAACCCACGGTTGTTTGTAAAGAGAAAGGCCCTTGCTATAACAAGAAGCTGACCTGCCCTGCTAAGTGCTTCAGTTATTATAGCCGGTCAGGGAAAGGTTACGGCGGCGGTGGCGGCGGTGGTGGCTGCATAACGGATTGCAAGAAGAAATGCAGAGCTTACTGTTGAAAAGGGTAATAATATACAATACAGTACTCGCCACGTCATGAAATCTATAGTGGCTTAACCATGTATGATTATATATGAGATGTATGGAGGATTTTCTATTAAAAGTAATATAATATGCATATTTATGGAGGAATTTGATGCTATACCTAATAATGTTGATAATATGTAATGGTTTGCAAGGGCAAGGTTAATGATTCTATGTTTCCTGTATGGCTGGGCTATGTACTATGGAAGTTCTTATCCTTGGTACAAAGGGAGTAAAATTCTTGACACTGCCTACACTTGAGCAGGCGAGTAAAATAAATATTCCATCACGTCTCACACAATAAATGTGTATATATATTATATAAGTTTACACATAATAGATATTGGACCGTATTCATATTCTTTTGTTGCTGATATCTATAAACATGCTAAAAGGGATACCTTGTTTGAAGCAATGGTAATCCTGTCTGGCATCAATGCCTCCTTTTTAGGGTAAAACTAACATTGCCGTAGTCATCCTAATAGCATGGCTGAATCCTTGTTTACAAGACCATTATAAAAACAATCAAGATGTTTTGTGACTTCTTGTAAGATGAACCATAATTGAACTCCAACTTTCAACCTCATCTGTCACTAAATTCATGGAACACCCTCCCCTCATCTGTCACCATTTCTTGTTTTTCGTTGTATAAATCACCGTTCATCACTTATCCATTAAAATAGTAAAAAAAATCCTTCACTTTCTCTTCTCCATACTCTGAAAGGAAAAACATAAAGCATCTCAAAGCTGAAATCCTCCGGAAAGAGAATAAAAAACAACTGAAAATGAACCTCAAAATGACCTTCATCTTGGCTGTTATGCTAAGTACAGCTTCACCATCTGCAGTGGCTAGGCCTAGGCGTGACTCATTCGAAGCCTTATCATCTGAGAAAAATAACGACGACAGATTCTTTTATCGAAGACCAGAGTTTGCCGACCATGGTAGGATTGAGGGGATGCTCGATCCGGGATTTGAGATTGTCGACCAAAACATTCAGAGTGGTAGTGGAGACAGCGAGTTAGGGTGGCCAGGGTTTGAAAAATGGTGGAAAGATGGGATTATGGGAGATAACGAGGGATCCTGGTTCCGAGATCCCAGCGGAGGTGAATATGGATCTTGGGCCGGAGATTTTAGTGGAGGCTACGATGTTAATAGTGGTTCAGTTGTTTGTAATCAGAAAGGCCCTTGTTACAAGAAGAAGCTTACCTGCCCTGCTAAGTGCTACGCCTCCGTTAGCAGATCAGGGAAAGGTTTCTCTGCAAGTGCAAGTGGCGGTGGCTGCACCATGGATTGTGAGAAGACATGCACAGCTTTCTGTTAGGAGGGTAATATACTAGCCTTTTTTTTATTCTAAATACTTGAGGGAAATTTTTCACCTCTTGTTATCTACCCAATTCGACAGTATAAGTTTATAATTAAACTGTTAAATGCATAAATATGTAGTTCATTTAAACAATAAATTTCCGAGATTATATTTGATGTAGTAAGTGATCAATTATCATATTAATTTACATCGATATTCAATTTCAGACATTAAATTTTCAAATGTAGTAAAAACTTTACAGAAAGTAGCATTGAAAACAAGTTACAAAAGATGAGCAACAAAAGCAAGGATAGACATATAACAACCTCAATTTTCTCCTCAACTCACTGCTGCCGAGTCTGTGAATGTGACTAGATGGCAGCCCTAATAGCTCCTCTCGCAGCTTCACGTTTCTGCTCAGCAGCTTTACCGCTCCCACGGAAATACATGTATACTTGCTGTTAGGTCAATAGCCAACGAAGTTTGAGATACCATACACCTTGTGGATGAGGACGTGGCATTGAATCATGTTGGGAACAGAACAAACCTTGATAGGTATGGCTCATAAATATACCAGTAAAGAGGACAAGGTTAATTATGTACCAGGTTTTTTATTATAAATAGAGATGTAACATAAACCTATGAGATATTGAATAAAACTTCTAGCGCCGCCTAGGCACCGAGGACGTAAGCACATTGCCGAACCTCGTTAAAATTCTTGTGTTCTTTCGTTATCTTTGCCCGATTCTTCAACAATTGGTATCAGATGTCAGGAGAAAAATTCGAAGTTGCGAAATTCAATGGTCAGGGTAACTTCGGATTATGGCAAATGAGGGTGAAGGATATGTTGGCGCAGCAAGGGATCCTGAAGGCTTTGCGACCTACAAAGCCGGCGTCAATGGAGGAGGAAGAATGGGAAGAATTGCAACAACGAGCGGCAGGAACCATACGATTATGCTTGACGGACGAGGTCATGTATCACGTCATGCATCTGTCGTCTCCAGACGAAATTTGGAGGAAATTGGAAAGTCAGTTTATGTCCAAATCCTTAACGACAAAATTGTATCTAAAGCAGCGGCTATATGGGCTGAAGATGCAGGACGATCATGATTTGGCGCAACACGTGAATGTCTTCAATCAAATCGTTTCTGATTTGGCTTGGCTTGATGTGAAAATTGAGGATGAAGACAGAGCGATGATTCTGTTGTGTTCGTTGCCTCCCTCTTACGAACACATGGTGACTACTCTTACATATGGGAAAGAGACTATCAACGTTGAGGAGATTACTACAGCCTTGTTGGCTCACAACCAGCGGAAGCAGAATGCAGGGGAAAGCTCTCAAGCCGATAGCTTATATGTCAAGGGTAATCGAGACCGTGGACGGAAGCTGGAGAAGGCAGGGTCTGGCAAGCGGAATTTCTAGATCCAAATCTAGGGATAAGAAGACAATTCACTGTTACAAGTGCAAGGAGGCGGGACATATGAAGCGAGACTGTCTGAAGTTGAAAAAGCAGACTGATGAGAAGCGTGATATTTCATCCAAGTCTGTGAACGTGACCGGGGATGACAATTCTGATTGCAGTGAGGGTGATTGCTTTCTATTTTAACGACTCAATTGATGGATGTGTGGATTCTTGATTCTAGTTGTTCTTATCACATCACGCCAATATAGGGAATGATTTTCGACATACAGGTCGGTTAATTCTGGTTCTGTTTATTTGGGTGATGATCGGTGTTGCAATATTGTTGGTATTGGTGAGGTCAGAATTAAGATGTATGATGGCTCTGTTCGGACGTTGAGTGGTGTTTGGCATATCCCAGATTCGAAGAAGAATTTGATTTCTTTGGGCACTTTGCACAAGAATGGTTTTATCCCTAAGGCTGATGAGGATAGGGAAACCATTCGGATTGTTAAAGGAGCTTTGACTGTGATGAAAGGAAATATGACTGCAGGGAATATTTACAGATTGTTAGGGAGTACCGTTGTAGGTGGAGTGCATTCTGTTGAGTCCTGTGATGATACAACCAAACTGTGGCATATGAGTCTTGCTCATCTTAGTGAACATGGTATGGCTGAATTACATAAAAGAAATCTGTTGCATGGTGTTAAAAGCTGTAAGCTCGACTTTTACAAGTATTGTGTTCTTGGTAAACAGACTAAAGTTCATTTCAAGACTGCGAAGCACACAACTGAAGGCATTCTTGATTATGTGCATTCGGATGTATGGGGGCCTTCCACGACATCATCTTTAGGTGGATCTAGGTATTATGTTACCTTTATTGATGATTTTTCACGGAAAGTTTGGGTGTATTTTTTGAAACATAAGTATGATGTTTTTGAGAAATTCAAGTTATGGAAAGTTGAGGTAGAAAACCAAACAGGATGAAAAATCAAGTGTTTGAGGTCTGACAATGGTACGGAGTACACAGATTCACAGTTTCTACAGTTCTGTATGGAGCATGGGATTAAGAGGCATTTTACAGTGCGCAAGACACCACAACAGAATGGTATTGCGGAACGGATGAACAGGTTATTGAATGAAAGAGGAAGATGTTTGCGGTTGAATGCGGGAATTCCCAAACACTTCTGGGCTGAGGCTGTTAACATGGCGTGTTATCTTATCAACAGATCGCCAAGGGTATCATTGGCTGGGAAAGTTGCAGAAGAGGTATGGATTGGTCATGATGTTAGTTTTGATAACTTACGGATTTTTGGTTGTCCTGCTTATGTGCATGTACCTGCTGATGAGATATCCAAACTTGATGCAAAATAGAAGGAGTGTATTTTTTTGGGTTACAAGAAAGGTGTCAAAGGATTCAAGTTCTGGGATCCAGTTGCGAAGAAAATTATGATTAGTAGAGATGATGTTTTTGATTAACAGTCCATGTTACAGCAGAAGAAAGACACGACAGTGGTATATTTCGAGTAATTTCCAGTTGAGAAAACAAAAATTTCTCAACCGACTTCTGATGATTCCGCTACGGATGATTTGCAGGATTATAGTCTCGCCAGAGACAGGGTGATACGGACGAATATAAAGCCTCCGAACAGATTAGGTTTTGAAGACTTTGTCTCTTTTGCACTTACTGTTAGTAGTGATGATCCGGTTACTTTTCATGATGTCTTTACTAGTCAGGAAAATGACAAGTGGATGACTGCCGTGGTTGAGAAGATGGAGTCTTTGAATCAAAATCGCACATGAGAGATAGTTCCCCTTCCTGATAGAAAGAAGCCTATTGGTTACAAATGGGTGTATAAGAAGAAACCAGCAATAACAGAAAAACAGGGGGAGAAGTTCAAGGCTCGTTTGGTAGCAAAGGGTTTTTCACAGCAGAAAGGAGTTGATTATGATGAAATCTTTTCTCCTGTGGTCAAACATACTTCAATCCGAGCAGTACTTGTATTAGTGGCTAGTTGGGATTTGCATTTAGAGCAGATGGATGTTAAAACTGCTTTTTTGCATGGTGATTTAGAGGAGTAGATCAACATGCGGTAACATAAAGGTTTCATTCAATCTAGAAACGAGCATTTAGTTTGCAGATTGAAGAAATCTTTGTACGGGTTGAAACAATCTCCGAGACAGTGGTATAAACGGTTTGACTCCTATATGATCAAGATTGGCTACAATCGATGTGAGTATGATTGTTGTGTCTATGTTAAGAGCCTTGATGATGGTTCTTTTATTTTTCTGTTATTGTATGTTGATGATATATTGATTGCTGCGTAGAACATGGATGATGTTATTGGTTTGAAAATCTTATTGAGTCAGGAATTTGATATGAAAGATTTAGGTGCTGCAAAGAAAATCCTTGGAATGGAAATTTGCAGGGACAGAGACTCAAGGAAACTGTGGCTATCTCAACGGGGTTATATTGAGAAATGCTAGAAAGGTTTGCGATGAGCAGCGCAAAAACCAGTTAGCACTCTATTGGCAAATCACTTTAAGCTCTCACCAGAATAGTGCCCGAAGACAGATAAGGAAGCAGAAGATATGGCAAATGTTCTGTATTCTAATGCTGTTGGCTGCTTGATATATGCAATGGTATTTACTCGTCCTGATTTAGCTCATGCTGTTAGTCAAGTTTGTAAGTACATGTCTAAACCTGGTAAGCAACATTGGGAAGCAGTCAAGTGGATTTTTCGGTACTTAAAGGGTACTGTGGGACATGGAATTGTTTTTTGTAGTCAGCGAGATAATCCTTTGGTTGTAGGATATGTGGATTCAGACTATGCAGGTGACTTGGATAATAGAAGATCTACGACAAGGCATGTGTTTACTCTTGGTGGAGGGCATATTTGTTGGAAGTCTACTATTCAATCTGTTGTGGCACTATCTACAACTGAAGCTGAATACATGGCAGCGGCTGAAGCTACAAAAGAAGCTTTATGGCTTATTGGTTTAGTGAAGGAGTTGGGTGTTCAACAAGGTGGAGTTCAATTGCTTTGTGATAATCAAAGTGCTATTCACTTGGCTAAGAATTGGGTGTATTGTGCTAGAACTAAACATATTGATGTAAGGTTCCACAAGATCAGAGAGTTGGTTGCATCTGGAGAGGTTTTGTCTCAGAAGGTACATACTGATGAGAATGCCGCTGATATGTTCACCAAGCCAGTTACGACAGACAAGTTTAAGCATTGCTTGGACTTGTTGAATGTTTCGAGTTGTTAAACAGTTAGGTAACCCAACCCACATTGAAGTTTCCAAGGGGCAGGATATTCGCCAAGGTGGAGATTTGATAGGTATGGCTCATAAATATACCAGTAAAGAGGACAGGGGATGGAGCGGAGTCTACGCAAGGTTAATTATGTAATTATATACCAGGTTTTTTTATTATAAATAGAGATGTAACCTAACCTATGAGATATTGAATAAAACTTCTAGCGCCGCCTAGGCACTAAGGACGTAAGCACATTGCCAAACCTCGTTAAAATTCTTTTGTTCTTTCGTTATCTTTACCCAATTCTTCAACAAACCTAGATAACCCAGATGCTTACAACTGAATCGAGACAGAATAATCCAAAACCAACGAAGTAGAAGATCTACAC